GGCAGGGACGGCGGGGGAGGGGTGGGGTGGTAATTAATGTGAATGTGACACTCCGGTCACGCGACCACTTGTGCAATGAGCCCTCTCGCCGGCACGGCCGCTCCCAAGAGATAGGAAAAAGCGCCGAAATGGCCCTCCTAACGGCAACGGCAACGGCAGTGCCGGCGCGCTGCTACGGCGTCGTAACACCCCCCCCCCCCTCACTCCCTATCTGTTCCCCTCTCCCCTCGGTCACACCTCACTTGTCGACTTGTCGGTTGGTATGGATGGCAGCCCTGAATAATCCGATCCGTCAACGAGGTGCATCGACCCTGCGCTCCGCCCGCCTTCAAAGTATGTCCACGGACAAAAATAATGAAACAGCGTTTCAACTCTTTATGCCTTGTGTTCCAACTGTCGGTCTGTATAACTGGCGAATAACAAACTCAACGATGTAACCGGTGAACTTTTAACCTTACAACAGTTTAAGGTGCAGATACTTCGTATTATCTGCTTAAAATAAAATCACAGTCTCTGCTGGTAAGTGTCTCTAGGGCCCTGACTTGGCGTAAGTAAAGTGAACATTCATCACTCAAGTCTGCAATCGCATCTGCTGACGTGTTGGCAGACACGTCCTCGCAAACGACGGCGCGTTGTTTGTCGAAACAGCAAATAAAGAAATGAAAAGTGTAGTGCCCCCGAAAAACGAAATAAAAAGGGAGCACAGGTAATGGCCTAGGTCCGTCATGCGGCGGCGATAGCTCTCGTCCTGCTCGTCCCCGGTGTCCACCTGCCGCGTCCTCCGCGGCGTTGCCGGGCGCGGCCGCGCTGCGCTGCGCGGGAGGCTGGGCGCCGCGCTGGGCCCGCGGGCCTTCCCCCGCGCCCGCGGCCGGCGCTACGCGGCAACAGCGCAGGCCGCGGGGGCCGGCGGGCCTGGCGGGGCCCCCCGCGCATGCACGCTTTGGACAATGACGCGTGACGGTATGGCACAGGAAGCAGGGCGAGCTGCTGGACGGACCCGGACACAACGGGAAAAACACGGCCTGCCGCCGGGCCGCGTAGGCCGGCGAGGTGAGGCGGGGGTCCACTCCAGGGGAGTTCCCTCCGCGGCGACCACGTCCGCGTCCTCGCGGCCAGCACAGCGCAGCTCATTGGGCATGCAGGTCAGGCGGGCCGGCGCCAAAGATTCGGTGGCCATTCGCCCCCGGCCCGCACGGGGGTAAGGACCTCCCCGGCGCTGCTGGGGCTGGGCACGAGCGCGCAGCCCGGCCTGCAGGCAAGAGCCGCCCGGAGCACTGAACTCGACGTCACGAAATCGGCGTGCGCCGCGGCGGCAGTTGCGCCGCCCCGCGTCGCGCCGGCTCAGGTCCCCTTAGGTCGGCGCTAAGGTCAAATGCAGGCGTTCGGTCCCTGAGCTCGGCTTTGAGCTGCTTGGGCGCGGAGGCACACTCACCCTCACGAAGCCCCGCAACGGGGGAAGGTCGGCGTCCTCGTCGTCGGAGCAGATGATGGTGTCGGGCGGCGGGGGCCGGTAGGCGCGCTGCCGCCGCGGCCATGTCCGGGGGTCGGCGCCGACGTCCACCCGGCAGCCGGAGCCCGTCCCGGACCCCGGGCCGGAGCCGGCCCCGCCCCCGCCCGAGCTCAGCGAGTTGACGCCGCTCGCGCCGCTCGCCAGGGACGACGCCGTGCTCATGGTCGGCTCATGTCGCGGACGACGCACCGCGCCACCACCGAGACCTGGAGCACAAACAGAAGAGGCTGTTAAGGTGGATTCAGAGTTCCCTAGAAGCGAGCGTGATTCTCACGCAAAGCGTGATTTTCACGCCCGGCGTGATGAAAGTCGATCCCTGATTGGCTGCGCGAAGCCCACAAAGCGTGAAAATCACGCCTGGCGTGAAAATAATGCTTGCGTTTTGTGAACTCTGAATCCACACTTATACTTTCTTAAATAATTATGTCCACCTAACAACAACAACAACAACAACAACAACAACAACAACAACAAATGCAAAATTTTAACCACAGAGTCGTCTTCGCAGTTCTAGAGCACGGACGGCGTATTAGGTTCATTGCGCGCTCGCCCCCCGTGACTTTCAGAGGAAGAGAGAGAGATAAAAGACACACGCGGCGCGGAGGTCCGAAAGGCTTGCAGCTTCCGGAACTAACATGGCAGGTCGGAAGTCGAGGCACACTTCATGAGAGGAAACAAGAGCAGTGGCAGTGCGGGGGACCCTGCCGGAGGCGAGTTGTAGGAGGAGGAGGAGGATCGGAATGAGAGAGAGAGAGAGAGGCTGATGGAGTTAGAGAAACAGAGGGAGAGAGGCACGTGTTGACACGGTGGTGCAGGCTGATTGCGTGTTCTTCCGATTTTTACGCCGCCGCCGCTCTCGCGCGGCGTGGCGCGGCGTGGCGCAGCGAGTTCGCGGACAATCGCGGGAAGCCGCCGACAACAGGCGGGCGGCCGCGCGGCAGGTGGTTCGGAGTACCGAAGTACACCGCGAAGAGGTAGTACGACCCGTCTAGTTTTATTCCTCCTTGGTGTTTTTCCCCTGGGGCAGAGAGAGAGAGAGACTCTTAGGGAGCTTTACCTCTGGGGATAGTAACAAGCTCAAGACTTCTCCCCCTAAAACCAATCACGGTAAAAGAACTTCCGAGAATTTTTATCGGAAAGTGATTGATGGCATAAGTGTGTGGTCGCGAGGCGAGCGTTTAGGGTTCAAAGACGGTCGTCGCCCGCGATGATGTCAGGGCCGATGTCGGCGCCCAGCTCTTACGGCCGACGGTCGCTGGCCGGACGCCACAATCTGGGCGGGAAATTAAAACACCGGCGCCGCCGCCGCCCCCCAAGTGTAAAAAGGCAAAAAAACACTGCGACTGCTCTCCCTCACACGTTTAGGAGCTGCGGGCACGCCCCGGCCGGCCGGCCACTTGAGAAAAGCAGCCGCGCCGAGCCACCCCCCACGACACAATAACCATTATGGCGGGTATTGTGTGGCCCGGTGGTGCGGCGCAGCGGGGCGAGGTGTGGCGCGGCGGGGCGGGGAGGGGCGGGCGCCTCTCAGCGCGGCGCGTGCAGGACTCTCCACTTGTATAATAAGTTGAACATCATCACCTCCGGCTACCGCCGCGTCACCTCGTCATCATTTAGGCCCTTCCCCATCCCCCCCACCCCGCCGCGCCCAGCGCGCCGCATCGCATCAAATTGTCATTACAAACCACTCCTGGAGCACCGCGCTCGCCGCTTCAGCAGAAGTAGAATGGACTCGCGGACCGCAACTACTATATTGCGCAGCCGATATGAAGCTCTCAAGGAAAAGGGTACGTCTCAAATTCGGACGAGCCAAATCTAAGAAAGATTAATACCGCGCGTGCGAAGACTTTCCCCTGCCCATCCGACCCTAGCTGGTGCACCTGGGGCCAGGCGCCGTTTGTTTGCACCCCTCGGAACCCCCTTTGACCGGGCCGGCCACGGCCACCCCTGCCCCGCACGGGGATCAGGCACGAGCGCGCACGGAGACGACTGTGGAATACCAAATGTGAATATCAATCACCCATTCAAGCCTTGACCCCCCGTGCGGGAGAAGCGTGACGGAGAGCAGTAAAACGGGGAGAGAATAATAGTCTCGTTCATTTTCATTACTTTATTTTATCGATCATCGGTGCATCACCCATCCATCCCTGCTACTCTCCCCCCCCCCCCTCAATCGCCTGCACACCTCAGCATAGTAATGTAATAATGGTACTGCCACTGGGAGGATGCGATGCAACTGATGTGAGGGAAAGGAAAGCTAAGGGGGAGAGGTGTGCAGCAGGCAGGTCAGAAGAATTCTTAAGGATAGCGCCGATAGGCGCTGCTCTCCTTGGTGACGATGTCCGGGAGCGGCCACCGGCCCGGGCTGTCGTCGGGGACCTTGCTGATAGTCCGCGGCACGCTGTCCCGCCAGCCCCACCCGGCCAAGGCCGCTCTCCCCCCGCCTCCGCTCCGTGCGTGGACAATTTTCGCTCCCCGCGTCGGCGACAACTTGTCTCAAGGTGTCTCCTCTCCAGGACAACGATCGACAAACAAACAAATTTTAAAAAACTACGTGCGGTGTTCATTTATTTTAATCAAAGTCTTTTTCGTTTGTTCGTTTTGGGTTTAAAAATTCATTCCACCTTGCATGGGCCGTGCTACCGTGATTTATTTTGCGATCCTCGACGTATGAAGGCGGAGTACGCGGAATATTACACGTACTCATGCAAGCAGCGGGGGCGGCGAACAGGAGCTACTAACAGGCGCGAGGTGGCGGAAAGGAGCGAGATAAAAAGAAGCAAACACGCTGCCGCGTGTGCACCGCGGGCGGGCGCGCGGGCCCAACCGAACCGAACCACCGCGAACTACAAAGCCTGGCCGCGGGCCGCCCCCCGCGCGCCCCGCCGCCGTACCGCCCGCCTCAGGCCTGACCGCAGAGGAGGAGCACATGCTAACCTTGGGGCGGAGATGGGCGACGTGTTTCCTCATCCTGTTCCTTTTATTATTGTTATCATCGTCATCGCCATTTTGCCTTCGACATTTCGGCGAGGATCAGGGAGGTGTTCAGGTAA